GGGGTGGGGTGGGGTGATGATCCAGCTGGGACCCAGCTGTCTCTGCTTGTAGATGGGACTAGGTTCCAAGCAATGATGCTAATGATGCCACATGTCATGGGCACCTGGAGAATTGGGATGGGCCCCCCTTCACAAATCTGGAAGCACCCTCTAGCTGCTCTGCTCAGGACGGGGCCCGCTAGAATCCATTTAGATCAAGTGAAGAGACTGGGCTTACACTAAACAGAGGGAATGAGTGAATGCAGCTTCCAGGAGGTCATCACTTGGTTTGGCTGTTTATGTAGAAAGCATCTGGCCAATTTCAAGGAGTACAGACCTAGAAACATCCTTGTAAACCCACCCTGAGTGATAAAGATAAGGTCTATGTCTTAACCTATATAAAGGTGAAGGATTATCATTTTTCAACTGTACAGACACAACTGGAGTTACAGTTTAGTGGCATGCACCCTACGTTGATTGCATTTAAACTACGACGGTGTAGTGCAACATCTCCAATACATGGTGCCAAACATTTTTCAATGGTACAACTGTTACTTGGTGAGATCTGATTTTAGCCACAGTATTTTAAAAGCCAATTTCTATTTAAATGTGTAGTGAAAAAAAATGGAGTTTGACTTTATACACATTTTACATTTACAGCAGGATAAGTACAGGAATTTATATACCTCAGTGGGTGCTGTTGCCTTTAAACTAGTCACCTTGCGAAGACGGATGTTTAGTCCAGTGAAGCTGACCTTACTCAGAACATTTCTAGAACCCTCCTTGGGAACTGTCCACTTGTAAGCTTCCTTAACATTGGTAAGTCTTTGTCCTTTAAGGGCAGATTAATGTTTTTGTGGAATAATTTTTTTTAAAGGCCAAAGAGTATTAGAAGATAAGTCTGATAAATAAAGTGGGTGATGGAGCTTGGGACAACCTCTGGGGAGGGGTGGTGTGAAAAAACAAGATCTGAGTACAAGGTTGTGAGTCCCCTTTTCTTGCATGGCTTCAAGGGTAACTTCAAAGAGGAATTTTACATGTTCTTAACACATGCAACATCACAGCTCAAGAGTCTGGTCTCCCAAGGAAAAATGATCACCGTGACCCTTGAGTGCATATGTTTTAGTGTATTTGGTTAAAAAGGTAGCCTTGCTCACTTTTGTTATATTTCATATAAGCAGAAATGGAAAACTCCATCTCTGTGATTTCTCCCAAGGGAAGAATCATCATCTACTGCTGGAAAGGTTAAAATGAAAAGCACTTGGTGTCATATCTACACTATCCACTCACCCCACCAAATGTGCAATGAGTAATTCCTGATACCTGAGTCTCCCCAGTTTGCAAAAGTGGGTAAGGACAGGTCTCTGGAACCTGGGTGAGACTAGAATGTCAAGGGGACTGCAGTGTGTTTCCAATGGCTCCATCTACCCAACAGGCTCACAGCACCAACTCATACAAGAAAATCTCCTACAGCTAAGTACACAAAGCTTCAGTGCAGGGGGGAGGGGTGGGTGGGTGGGAAATGATTATCTTCCAGTAGCTTCCGAGGATTAAAAACCCAATGGCTTCTGATGACAAGTGAACAGAGCCCATTGAAAAGAAGTCCATAGTGTTCAAATCTAGTGCACGCTTAAGAAAGAAAGTGTGTGGCCACTAGCTCATTGAAGTGCATTTCCAGCTGAGGCCAAAGGCAGCAAGGTGCAAGAGGCTGCTGGGTTTGGCATTGGTTGAAGCAGGGTCTGTAAATTCGGATGGAAAAGCAATTTGTAGAAAGGCCCGGTTACAGAGCAGGATGTTTGCCAACCAGTGAAGTCAAAGGATGCTCAACTTCACTTTCTACAAAGTGCTTCATTGAAAATGCTAAGGGGGAAACTCCCTAAAACGCCATATCCTGAGTGTCAGAGAAATATGGTCAAGATGGTGACTGATGGGGAGCAGAGACTGATCCTCTAATAGTGCTTGGACTGTGTATTCTCCGAGCATCACACACGCGTGCACGCACATACACATGCACGCACACACACACAATGAAGAGCACACAGCTGCAGTCATATTCCACCTCTTCCGCACGAGCCTCTGTCCAGTGGTTGCTCTTTTGTACAGTATTTTCAAGAGCCGTTTCAAGTTAATGGGCTCTTCTGCTAAAAGCCAGAAGCACAGCACAGTCAGCGCCCAAAAGTCATCCCTAACATCCAAGTGCTCGCAGCAGACGCTGGTCTCAAATTGATCAGTCGGGATGTTGTTCTTGGTAAGGGTTTTTATCCGAGTGTTTATAAAAACCCCAAAGCTAGGCCATTTGCTTAAATCGTTGTTAGAAAGAATGCTGGGTGCCCAGATGGGATTTCTAGTTTCTGTGCAAATGAAATCACATTTGTCCAGATTTTATTCGCTCAAAACTACTAGGGAAGCAGTAGGATTTGGTTTAAACGCTGCCAAAGAGCAGGAATTCACTTTAGTCTTAACTCGGAAGCAATCCTGTTGTTAATGTTGTAGCTGGGGTCGGGCAGCATGGGGGCCGGGGCCCCCGTCGTGCTCGCTGAGGAATCCCGGAGCTCTCCCAGTTCAGGCTCACTCTCGCTGGAGGTAGACCCACTGTTGATGGCGTAGACGCTCTCTGCTACTCCCTGAGCTGAAGCACAGCCATCTGGCTCCTTCTTCTCTCTGGGACTAGACAGTCCTGGGAGGACGGCCATCTTCCCAGTCTGCCTGGTGGGCAGCAAGGACATGGTGTAGTCTGCAATGATCCCACCCACGTCTAAGTTGCACGCCTGGTCGAAGGCTAGGAAACCGACGTTGGCGTTTGCCTCGCACACCACAAAGGAGCCATCGTCCATGATGAGGAGATCGATGCCACAGAAGTCCATGCCCAGGATGTTGGACACCTGGATAGCCAACTGCTTGCCTTGTTCTGTCAGCGGGCACATGACACCCACGCCACCTGCAGGGAAAGCACAGTGACAGAGTGGTGACATCAGACATTGACTGACCCGTCAAATGACCCTTCAAGGAAGAGACAGGGGAATGCTGGGGAGGGGCAGCAGCAAGACAGGCATTTTCATTACTCACAAAAGGTCTGGATGGAAATCAGGACACCTTTTGGGAAAATAATGTGGCTATTTCTTATCTAGAGTTTAAAAAATGTTTATATCCCCTGACCGAGCCATCTCACTGCTAAAGAAATAACCTTATATAATGGGGGAAGAAAAGGTTTATGCACAAAGATGTTGATGGCAGAGTTATTTATAATATTGGAAATTCAATATACTGGCATATAGTAGGTACTCGATATTTGTTGACGAATAAATGAAAAATTATAATCTAAATAGCTCACAATAGAGGAAAGCAGCATATTTTACAACCATTACAAACAAAGATGACAGAGTTTGTGATCCCATGGGGAGATACTTAAAAGGATTAAAGGCGCAGCAGTATGACCACAACTATGCCAAAAAGTATCATCACAAATGACGACCCCAAAATGTTAGCATTGGCTGTTTCCAGAGGGGGAGATTAATGATAAATACCTTTTTTCACTTGACTTTGCTGTATTTCCTAAATTTTCTACATTGAGAATGACCTCCTTTAATAAATTACAACATACAAAATTAGCTTCTTATTTTCTAAGAAGAAAGAGGCTTGTGAGACAAAAACCCCATATCCAGGGCAGAGTGAGCCTGACTGCCCTCACTTGTGAGAAAGCTGACACCTCAGACTGGTCTCCCTACAAAGACTTAACAGTTGTATTCTCGGCCCAGTAACTAATGTCATTACCTTAACACTCCCCACCCCATTACACTGTCTAAGGAAAAGGCTATTAAACAGTTTTAAAACAGTTCACCGAAAGAAGCAATAGGCCCTGTTTGGGGAAAGCATCTTAGGAGCTTGTTATGAAAATCAGGGATTTCTGAAGAAAGCACTAAGCATTCTGTCTCCAGGCTGCGGTTCTAACCTACGGATCCTGGACTTGGGCTGCAGCATTTCCTGCCTCCAGCCAACTCCGCTGGCTTCAGGCCCCCACAATCCGAACTGGCAAGAGACAACTCCTTGATATCTACCCCGTTGCTACTGTTTGCCTTGAATTCAGTGGGTTTTGTACACTGACAGACTCCTTGGTTTGTCTCAAGTCTGAAGTCAAGGGGAGATTCTGTCAGCAACCAAGGACCTCTCTGTCCTGAATGGGCTTTTCCTCCAATTGCAGGGCTTGTCCCCCACATTGTTTACTAAATGCAAAAAGGTATGGTTATACCACCCCCTAGATTTTTTCTAATTGTTGCATATATTGTGCAGTGTCTAATGCATTGAACCTGTAAAGCTGTCCATCTATCTTTATTTTACAAAATCTGAACTCAGGGCCAGCATATACTGAGCTCAGTGTTTGGTGAAATTTAAACGAGAATAAAATAGTTTACCCATTAACAAAGAAGAAGAAGAAAAGCAATATGGATAAATTACAAAACCACGTAGTTGCTAGGTAAAGAATGGACTCTGCAAGGTGACTGAAAAAGACAAAATGCTAATACATAAGGTTCAATACTGGGGCACGACAGGTGACTGTCATGAACATTCAATGAGATAATATATTAGGTCCTCAGCACTGTCCAGCGATCTCTTTATGTGTCTTCTCCTTTACCGGATTACAGGCTGCCCGAGGGCAAGGACTCTCATTAACCGCTACACTCTCAACATCTACCAGGGAGTCTGCTTAGGGAAACCGCTCAACCATACTCAAGAGGGTGGACCAGACTGGTGTTCCAGCCTCTCCGTTAGTCACTGGACTTGGTACACTCATCTGGCGATTTAGGAAATAACAACTGTGGGTATTTTTTCACATTACCAACATACAAATTCCACTCATGAGGTCGACAATAGGTTTCTGGGATGAAGACAAGAATTTACCTACCCCCTGGACAGAAAACAAGCTTTATTAATAGGTTAATGAATGGGGTTATGCATTTGACCCAAGCATAACTGACTGCAGCTTTCTAATAACATCAAACATATAAGAAAAAGACAACTTTCAATTACAGTGTAAAAGCAGAATACACTGACTCATGCCAATGCCTTCACTGAGACTTGATAACTTCTTGCCTGAGCTATGGCAACAGTGTCTAAACTCAACTCCTTGCCTCCCTCTTACAACCTCCAATCCATCCTCTGTCCAGATCTCAGTTTTTCTCAAACACTGATGCTCATGCCACTCCCATGTTTAAACCTGACTGCCAAGTCCTAACACCTCCAGGATAGGGTACAAACCTCAGCATCCTGACACCCCCAGCATGACTTCTTATACCCACCTCTCCCCCTCCTGGACAGCTTCCTGCTAAAGGAAAGGGCTTGTTTCTAATTCCTCTCTGTGGTCCTGCTGTCCCGCAGAGGGTCTGGCCAGACGGGAGGGATGGAGACATATGGACTGAATGGGTGCAAACATTCTAAGGAAAACCCTGGTGGCCTTTCAGACCCACACCCGACGTGGAGCTTCTGAGCTGAGCCTTACCGAGAGAGCAATTGCTCTGCATCCGTCCGTCTGTGGAGCAGCGAAGCATGGAGCCTATCACCCGGCCCCCAACAACCACCACCCGGATATCCTTTCCATGGGACTCCTTCACATACTTCTGAAACAGGTAGGGCACATCGTGGCGGATCAGATGGCAGATGTCTGAGAGGTGGTGTTTATCTCTTGCGAGAAAAACAGCTTTTCCTTTAAGAAGAAAGACAAAGAGCAAGAGAAGTGGTTAAGGACACCTCTGAACGCTGTCCTCACCGCCCCACCTCCCCGGTCCAGAGTCATGCGTTCTTTCTGGACTTGCCTCACTGTAGGCCCTTCAATTTCTCTGACTAGATTCTTACTTCTTACCAAATGGCCATTGAACCTTACTCCCTCTTGATTTTACTTGGCTCCCTCTCCCTTCACAACGTTCTCAAAATTAAATAAAAATGTCTTCCAGAAACACACAGAACAGGCCAACAAAAGATCCCAAGGATATTGTCAATTTGGTTCCAAAACCAGCTTAGTGTCTCCTAGCATCCCCAGGATGCTGATCTGGCAAGTCCATGACTCACTCATCTTTTTTTAATCCCCCAAACCTCATATTGGGCTTGATACACAAAGCCAGTCTCATCAGTGTTTACCGAACATAATTAACTGAACATATTTTTGAGGAATCCCCATTCTAGATAGAGAGAGACCCACAATAGATAATGACACGGCATGATATGGCACTAGGAGAGGTCTATGTAAAATGCTATAGGAGTTCAAAGAGGGAGCCATTGCTTCAATGTCCTTCCTCCTTTTAAGAAACTTACTATCTGGCTATACTCATTTAATTCTAAAAGGAACGATCTATACTTCTGTTAATCTCTGGGGAAAGCACTCCTTCTCAACTCCAAATTCTTTATTTTCTGCTTGAATCCCTTATATTTTTGTAATTATTTGACATCAGCTTTTCCATTGGCACATCATCCTACAGATTTGAGCAGGGATCCCTGATAGGTTTGCTCTGCAAATCTTACATACATACCCTGAGCATTCCTGTTAGCAAATATGGAACAAAGAGATGGTTACCCTAAGATTTGGGTTACCACCTTGAGAAGAGTGGGACCTTTCTGAAGTCTTAATAAAAAGAGGGATGGGTATCAGCCCCTAGTGGCATAGAAGACTGAAAAATAACCTCTAAAACACATCTCAATAATGGGACATTTGGCACCAGGAGATCTGGCATCTGGCAGCAGATAGCTGGGATCCAATTCTAGGCACAGGGGATTCTCTGGATCTTAGGTAGGATTTTTAGCGGTGACGGGGGCTAAAAATAGGGACTTGGTTCTTTGGTTCCTGGCATAGAGGTTCTAATGTGGGGCTTAGTCTGCACTTAATAAAGGACCCATAGGTTTAAAGCAAGGAGGAAAATAAGTGGGGGGTAGGGGAGAACCCTACGATTAGTTAATCATCTACTGTGTGCCAAACACTTCTAAAATAAAATTATTTTACACTTCATACTAGCCCTGTGAAGCCATTAGGACAAGGATAGTTATTTTTGTTTTACAAAAGAGGAAACTAAGGCTCCACAAATTAGTAACTTTGTCAAGGGTATAGTCTGCATGAGTCCACTGCTTCTTCGGATCCATTTCCATTTCCTAGACCCTAACGACTGCTGTAGCTGTGCTTGCTCCCTGTCCGTTGCCCTAAGATGCCACGCACTACACCAGCAATGACCAACCTGAAAATGAAATTAAGAACACTATTCCCTTTACAATAGTATCCAAAGGAATAACAAATTTAAGAATAAATTTCACCAAAGAAGTGCAAGACTGATACACTAGAAACTACAAAACATTTCTGTTAGAAATTAAAGATTGAAATAAATGGAAAGACATTCCATGGTCAGAAACTGGAAGATTTAATATTGTTACGATGGCAAAACTCCTCAAATTGATCTACAGATTCAATACAATCCCCATGGAAATTCCAGCTTCCTTTTTTGCAGAAATTGATAAGCTGATCCTAAAATTCATATGGAAATGTAAGGGACCCCAACAGCCAACACCATCTTGAAAAAGAAGGACAAAGTTGGAGGACTGGTACTTCCCAATTTCAAAACTTACTACAAAGTTACAGTAAAAGGACAGTGTAGCCTGGCATAAAGACAGACATATAGATCAATGGAATAGAACTGAGAGCCCAGATAAACCCTCATCCAGATGGTCAGTTGATTTTTGACAAGAGTTCCAAGGGCACTCAATGGGGAAGGAACAGTCTCCTCAACAAATAATAGCGGGGAAAACTGGATAGCCACAGACAAGAGCATGAACTTGGACTCCTTCAACACACCATACACAAAAATTAACTCAAAATGGATCAAAGCCCCAAATGTAAGGGCTAAATCTGTAAAACTCTTAGAAGGAAACATAGATGTAAATCTGTATAACTTTGAAATAGGCAAGCACAAAATAATATCAGAAGCTCAAGTAAGCACAGGAAAAAACAGGTAAACTGAACTTCATCAAAATCAAAACCTTTTGTGCATCAAAGAATACTATTGAGAGAGTGAAAAGATGCTCTAGAGAGTGGGGAAAAAATCATGCTCAAATTATGTATCTGATAAGGGTGTAGTAACCACAATATAGAAAGAACTCTTAAAAATTCAACAATAAAAAGACTAATAATCCAACTGAAAAATAGGCAAAGGATTTGAATAGTCATTTCTCCAAAGAGGATATACAAATGGCCAATACATGAAAAGGTGTTCAACATCATTAGTCATTAGGAAAATGCAAATCAAAACCATAAAAATATCCGACATTATATGCACTAGGAAGGCTATAAGAAAAACAAATCACATATTTAAAAGTTGCTGAGAGTAAATCTTAAAAGTTCTCATAGTAAGAAAAAGAATTTGGTAATTATGTATGGTGACAGATGTTTACTAGATTTATCGTGATCATTCTGCAATATATACAAATACCACATCACTACATTGTACAACTAAAACTAATAGAATGTTGCACATCAATTATACCTCAATTAAAGAAAATATTTTAAAAATTTAAAAATAAATATATAAAGTGGGTCATTACATTGCTAATGCTTGGAAAACATGCATTTTGGCTTGTGGTTTATTTTGATGGTGGAGGTATGGTGACTATTTGCATAATTTGTCGAGACAAATTAATACACCCAATATAAAAGTTCTATTTAGTATGTGGAGAAACTAGAACTATCGCACATTGCTGGTGGGAATGTAAAATGGCATGACTGTTATGGAACACAGTTCGGCAGTTTCTCTAAAGTTAAACATAAAGTGACCATATGACCCTGCAGTTCCCCTCTTAGGTAAATGCCCAGGAGAAATGAAGACACGTGTTCACACATAAACTTGTACGTGAATGTTCACAGCAGCATGATTCACGAAGCAGGGCAACCCAAATGTCCATCAGCGGATGAACAGATAAACAAAATGTGGTATCCCCATACAATGGAGTATTACTGAATCATAAAAAGGGATAAAATACTGAACCATGCTACAACATGGATGATCATGCAAACACTATGCTAAGTCAGAGAAGCCAGACCCAAAAGGCCACATATTGTATGACTCCATTGATATGAAATGTCAAAAAGAGGCAAATCCATAGAAATAGAAAGTAGAGTAGTAGTTGCCAGGGACTGGGGGAAGGGTCATTGGGAATGACCTTTAAAAAGTACAGGATTTATTTTGGGGTGGTAGAAATGTTGTGGCATTAGATAAGTGGTAATGGTTGTACAGAAGAGTGAATATCCTCTGAATTGTATAATTTAAAATGGTACATTTTGTGTTCTGTGAATTGTATCTCAATTTTAAAAACATCTAAAAATATTATATATTCTATTTAATTTCTGTTTATTGTCTGTCTTACCTTTTTACAATGTGAGCTCCTTGAGGGTAGGGATTTTTGTTCTGTCCCTTTCTGTATCCCCAGAGCCTGAAATAGTGCCTGGTGCTTTGTAGGCACTCAATAAGTATTAGTTGAATTTTATTTTATGTATATTTTACCACAATAAAAACACAGTTGAGAGACGTTGCATTTTTGCACAGTAGCGTATCTGACTAATATTCAGAGCCCCACCTTGCCACCCAAACTCATTTCTCTTACTCCTCAACAGGACGCCTCTCTCTTCCCAGGTCACTTTGTTCACACCTGCTTCTGCATGTTTGCTCACCCACTTCCTCCAGCTCAAATTCGACACTCCAACTCAAGTCTCCTTTCCTTCCACTGAAGCCTTCTTGGCCTCAAGGCAGAGTGGGCCCCTCCCTCTGTCAGGCTCGAGCAGGCCCTTGGAGGTGCCTGCCATAGTGGGCATCATCCTGCAATGCAAGGTCTCTACTCTGCACACTGGAGGTCGAGAGCAGTGAGTGTGTCAAGTTCATTTCTACTACACAGTCCTATCACAGGAACTGCTCATTCCATGTCCATTTAGGGCCCCTCCTCCCACTCTAGATGCCCTGAGCATTGCAGGATGCCATCTGGGTACCATCATAAGGTACCCGCTCACATATCACAGGGCGTGGGCACTGCTTTCTGCTCATACATCCTCTTCCACCACTATGCCCTGAGGTCTATAGTAGGTCTTGGAGACAGAGATGGGCAGGACCTGGTTCCCACCCCTGATCAGCTCACAGTCAAAAAGGGGAAAAGGCACATAAATCTCTGTTATAAGGTGTAGAACTATGCCAGAGGCATGGACAAAATGCTATGGAAACACAAAGAGGAGAGCAATTGAATTTGTCTGGAAGAGAGGGAAGGAGACCTGGGACATGGAGGAGGAAGACATGACTTGTGCAGCTGGTCTCGAAGGATAAGAAGTTCACTAGAGGGTAGAGGAAGACAGCATTCCCACAATGGGAAGCAAGCAGAGGTTTAAAGAGAGCAAAATACAACTAAATCACTACGCTGTACACCAGAAATTAACACAGCACTATAAACTGACTATACTTCAATTAAAAAAAGAAAGACAAGAAAAAGCAAAATATATGGTCTAGTCCAGAATGGATTACGTAGGGGTCACGTGGCCAGATAAGGCTGCAAAGGAGAGTGAGGGCTGTTTGTCCAGAGCCTTCAGTACCAGGGTAAGGAATATGAACTTTGTCTAACAGGCAACACAAATTCTTGGAGGGTTTTTCAGCGAGTGACAAGAAGAGCTCTAGGTTTCAGAGAAATGACTTTCCCGACAGAAGAGAGGATGCACTGGCCATGGAGTCAGGGAAACCAGTTAGGACCAAGTCAGGAGGCTGCTGCCAGAGTCCAGGGAAGGGTGGAGAAGGGTCTGGACAAAGCAAGGCCCGTGGGGCAGCGAGGAGGGGGCAAGAGGTAAGGACGACACCGCAAGCTCCGCAAGGGGGAGCTCCGTCTCTCCCAGCGGCGCTCCTGCCGCCCGGGGCGGGGCTCGGGGCTCGGCGGGGCGGAGCGGCACTGACCCCGGTGTCCTCGCGTGCTCTTCACCACCACAGGGTAGCCCAGCGGCTCGGCTTCATCGATCATTTTGGAAAAGTCTTCATGCCCACCTGCCGAGAAAAGCGAAAGTCAGTGAAGGCATGGCTATGGTCGGGGGCTCTGTGGGAATTCTTTGGGGGCCTCGCGTCTCTCCAATTTAGGCAATTTGAACCCATTCCCTCCGTCAGATAGTCTTAGCGCGCCTGCCGTATAAAAGGTGGGAGCAGAGAGATGAGGACAGCAACATTTACCACGTGCTTCGATGTGGCAGAGGCTTCACCAGCCCTAGTTCGTGTAATTGTCTCGACAACCCCACAGGGAGGGCAGGGATTTTTCCCTTTACAGTAGCTGGGGTAGGCGGAATTCTAAGAAGGCCCCCAAAATTTCTACCCGCTGGTTTACATGCCCCATATAACCTCCTCTCCCGAGTGTGGGAGGGACTGGTGATTATACTGGGATAGCATTCCAGCGATTAGGTTCATAATCAGTGGACTTTGAGTTAATCAAAAGGAGAGGATTCTTGCTGGGCCTGACCTAAGCAGGTGAACCCTACAAGAAAATGAAGTGTCAGAGAACCTTACCTCCCGACCTTGGAGGAGCAAACTGCCACAGTGGAGAGGCCATGTGGCGGAGGCAGTGGGCAGCCTCTAGGCGCTGAGAATGGCCCTCAGTTAACAGCCAGCAGGGAAGTGGGGGCCTCAGTTCTACAACTGCAAGGACTGGATGCCAACCAGTAAGCCTGGAAGACCCCAGACCAAAGATGAGGTCACAGCCCAGCTGCCCCTTGATTTCAACCTGGCCATACCTGAGCCAAGAACCCAGCTATGCTGTGGGACTTTGGACCTACAGAAATGGTGAGATGAAAAATGGGTGTGAGTTTAACCTGCTAAATTTGCAGTAGATTGTTGTACAGCAGTAGAAAACCAACCCACAGAAACCAAGCCTGGGATTTGTCTCCCCCAAAGTTAAGGTGTGACTCGAAAGCCTGAATTGGCTCCACTACACTCCTTTAACTCTTCATTTAAAAATGTGAATAATAATGTATATTAAAATCTTTCTAAGTTGTTTTATAAGCTTCCTTGGTTTCCTATACCTTTGCATCTTGAGGGGACTGTTATTCTGCCTACCACGGGGAGTCATAAATTTTTGCAAAGCAAAATACTCTGGAATGCTACTAAGACCTATCACAGAAGTGCTAATGATTAAAAAAAATTAAGCAGCATGCAGGGGCAGAGTAGTTAATCAGGGGCATCTTCATAAAGAGGACATTTTATAAGAAGAGAAGTGCCAGCTTCCTGACACCCACTGATAAACTTAACTCCTCTCTACTAGCCATCCTTTTGTCCTTCCCTTGTAATACAGTGCAAGAGGGGTCCTTCTCATCTAAGACCACCCCTGCACCTGTGCTTTGGACCCTCTCCCTCTCCCCTTCTCAGGAATCTTGCACCATTAAGTATCCCCTCTCTGCTGTATCTTCCACCCCCGAGTTCCTAATGCCATCAGCATTTTAAACATGCTCAGTTCTTTCCCTTCTTAAACAAATAAAACCCCTGTTCCTTGACCCTGCATCATCCTTTAACTACAGCCTTGCATCCCTACGATCAAGTACTCAAAGGGTTTCCATTTCCTCACTTCCCATTCACTTCCTCATCCTTAACAAGTGGGCTTTTACCCCATCACTAAGCTGAAGCTGTATTCATTGAACTCCCTGTTGGTGAATCCACAACATGTGTCTCTGTGCTTACGTCACGTGTCCTTTCAGACTCAAACACCACTTTTAAGTATGCCATCCTTCTTGGAATGCTCTTCCCATTGGCTTCTGTCATCTCTCTTCTTTCTCTTCTCACCTCTCCAGTTGCTCTTACTTAGTCTCTTGCATTGGTTCTTCTTCCTTTACCCACTCCCTAAAGGATTCCCTCTTGAACCCTCTTCCATTAAATTTTATTATTTTCTTGTGGTAAAATACACATAATGTAAAATCGACCTTTTAAACCATTTTAGGTGTACAGTTCACTCCCTCTTCATTCTATATATTCTCCCTGAGTAATTTCTTCCATTCTTGTGACTTCATTTAACATAATGGAGGTTTCCAATCCACTTCCCTAGCTACCCTTCACTCAGTGGCTCCAGATCCACTTATCTGCTACCTACTGAATATTTTTACTTGCATATACTAGTGACTTCAAACAGAATGTGCCCCAAACTGAAATAATCTCTCCTGACACTCTCCTGCCCGCCGTCTGCTTCTTCTCTTCCATGTTTCTAGTCTTAGTGAGTGTTGGCTTTCACATTTGGTTGCCCAAACCAGAAACCAGAGCCACTCCTGAGTCCTCTCCACACCCCTCATATCCAATCAGGTATCATGTCCTAACAGTTCTATCTGAATCTGTTCACTTATCTCCTTAGTTTAGACCGTCATTACTCACTTGCATTGTTTACAAAGCCTAACACTACATATCCTGTCTCTGTTTTGTCCCGGTCTAATTCCTTCTGCACAGTGTAGCCAAACTGATATTCTGAACTCTGCTCAGACCATTTCCTTGCTTAAAGCCCTCCAGTAACTTCCTGTGAGTCTCTGATCTCCTTCATATACTGTACATGGCTACTTCTTCTCTTTCTAGCCTTATATTTCAAGTCTATCACCCTTATGTTCTACAGACCCCTCCAAATACCACTGATGGGTCATGTGCTCTTTTGCCTCTAGGTCTTTCTATATCCTGCTTTCTGCTTAGACTGCTCCCCTGACCCCCTGCTTTGGCTGGATAACTTCAGCTTAGTTATCCATCTCTTTTGGGAAGCCTCCCTCAATATCTTCTGCTGAAATTAGGCACTCCCCTATGTATTCCCAGATCACCTCGCACTAACTCTTACCATGGCACTTACTACACTGCCCTGAAATTGCCTGTTTACTTGCTGTCCTCTGCCTCTGATGAACGGAGAATGCCTTGAGAGCAGGACTCTCTTACTTATTGCCAGAGCCCAGTGCAGAGTGTGGTAGTTGGCACACAGTGTGTTCCAGATACTTACTAAATGAATGAATTCCAGAGAGAAAGAAGCAAAGACATTTCAGACAGAGGGAATGAGCATAGTAAAGACTCAAGATGTTGAATTGCTTAAGAAGAACAGATTCACCTTGAAAACCAACAAGAGATACCAGGGGGCTTCCGGGGAGAGAAAACATAAAGATGCAGGTGATTTGGGAAGACAAGTCCCGACCCTATTTTAAGGACACTCACCGTAGGAGAAGGTGTCTGGCATGGGGACCCCATGTCCAGCCAGCTCCTGGAACGTCCAGAATTTGTTGATGCAGTTTAAAATGCTCTGCGGGCGATTGACTAAGCGGCAGCCCAACTTCTCCAGGTGTCTCAGGACAGTGATGTCACTATCTGATTGCACGGAGGGTGTGGGCACCCTGACAAGCACCACGTCTGGGAAAGTGGTGAGCGCTTTCTGGTTCAGCTGCAAGCCTGCAATCAAAGGAAAAAGTGAGCTCTGTGCTGGCCGTCCTCTACTCCCGCAGGAAGAACTGGTTCCAACAGACTCCTCAAGACTGAACCTAGCAGGAAGACAGCCTTCAGAACGGCACCTGGATACCCCATTGTGATGAGACGCTACTGTCCACCCTACACTCCAGATGGGCAGCGCGTGATACTGAGGAGACCCGAAAGAATGCACAGGCAAGTAAAAAGGGCAGTATAGCAAGAATAATCCAAGTTAGGAGATTATCAGTCCACAGGAGATGATATAGTCCAGCGCCTTCCTTCCATATAAGACTAGTATTACTCAAGGTATAGTGGCTTAGGAGGCTGGAGGCTTCCTGACAAGGAGCGCCGTGCAGGTCCCTTAAGGTATCTTTACTACCCTTACTTAGTGTCTTACTAAGTAAAGTATCTTACTACTCAGTCTTTAAAAGTTAGCTGGAATATTATGAATCGAATGAATGCAAAAATGTCAATGTTAAGTGAGAAAAACAGGATACAAAATTATCGATGCAAGTTAGAAAAGGCTAGAGGAAATATACCAACATTTTATCAGTGGGTAATGGAATTATAGGTGATTTCCTATTTTATACTCTTTGGTATTTTCCAAAATGTCTCCAAATTTTACTTTTATAACAAAAAAAAACCCTAAGAAATCAATCTACTAAAATAAATTCAACATTGAACAGAACTAAAATGCATCCAAAAACGATTGGGTTATATATCTACACAGTGAAAGGACTTAAACTTAGATGACACTGGATGAACTGGGAGTATTATTTTGTAGCGAAGACTCAGAGGAACAGGAGTGCAGTCTTCAAGTATCTGCAGGGCTCCCTGCAGAAGAATTATTTGGCTCATCTTCTATGACCTCAAGAGACAGAGCAAACCATAAAAGCATTATTTTGTCTAACTGTTCACTGTTGCATCCCCAGCCCCTAGGACAGTATCTGGTGTGTGATAGGCACTCAATGTTTGTTGAACTGTACAGAAGCTACAGGGAGATAGCTTTGGGCTCACAAAAGCAATACTTTTCCACTGCCTTTGGATGGAATGGGCTGAGGTTCACTGGTCATCTGAGGATGGCACAGAAGGAATGCAAAGGTTAGATAAGCTCACAGCAACTTGCTTGGTCTCTTTCAACCCTGATGTCCTATGGTTTGTATTACCCACCGTAGTCACCTAGGCATCTCAGTAGGCAGGGATGCAATGATGGAGATAGAAATGGGATAGACAGGGCAATAAGAGGTTAGTTCAGGAATTGCTTGGTCTGCCTTAGTGACCCTTAAAGGAGTCTCTAAAATGCTCTAAAGAAAACCTTTTAAACACAGTTTGAGAACCATCTTACAGGCTTTAACCTAAAGCACCTTCAATTTCATAAGTGACAGAGGTGCACAACCAAATAATTCCAAGAAAACAAAGGTACTAATGAAGTTACTACTTCTCTATCCGAGGATGAATAATATCAATACAAAAACTCTAAGCAAAACAAAAGCAAGCAAACAAACAAAAAAACCCCTCAAAACCACAAAACTACTGCATGGATCTAACTTATACAGTTTCTCTCCTTCTAGGTATCTCACCAATTTTAAAAAAGAGTGCAGGTGCAGTCATCAAGTTAGATTGTTTCTAGTACTTCTGCGGATGGTGTGAACCCAGGGAACTGGAACATAATTCTCAGGGATGATTTGAAAAGAGCACTCAGGTTATCTTCACTTTGCCATCAGAAAACAGCATCATTTATATGTGCTTTTTCCTTTGCCACTTACAGCCCCTGGGGAAAATAATATGAAAGGGGGAAAAAAGCAAACCCTGAATGATGTCCTCAGAGTAGGTAGGAGAAGAAAGAAAAGGATTCAGGTTGGTGAAAATGGTGAGTAAATACAGAACACTCAGGGGAAAAGCAAAAGCCCAGGACAACATTACATAATGAGAAAATACAAGCAAAAATGCTTTGAAGACTACAAAACGCTATACAGACGTTAAGGCACTGGCATTAGTATTGCATAGACATTCTACTGAGCAAGGTAGGACACTTTATGGAGATTTTTACCACCTGATGACAAAAAAATGGCTTTGCAACAGAAAAGTGACCTAGAGAGATGAGAAGCAGCAGAAACGTCTGGCTTTTAAATCTCAACATGAGACCACAGACAAACAGTTAAGTTTCTAAATGGGAAGAAAAGAAGTCGACCATTTCTGGAACTACCAACCACAGGTGGACAGAGACAGCTCAGCCTCAACGAGCAGGTTCACATACACCTAGGAAGTCTTACCAGGACTTCATTTCTCTTCTCCAAAGGTAAATCTTTGGGCCTGGCTCATTCCAACTGGAGCCTTTAATAAATGAAGAATGGAGTGGGTTAATATGGAGCTGAAAATGCTCTCCCAAGCAGTTAGACGGGTCTGGTCTCTGACTGTGCTAGGAAGACAACCAGTTACTTCTTTGTCCATTGACCCAGCTCCAGCATCCTTGCTACGGGCAACGTCACTTGCCCCCTGTTTGTTCCCATTCTCTTTGCTGTCTACACCTAGTCTAAATCACCATTTCAGGAAGTAGTAGACAAGAGCATGCTGCTCGCTGCAGCGTCCATCAGCAGGAACCGCAGTTCCACACAGCCGTGGCCAAGAAGAGCTTGGGTTTTAGGCTGGCGCTTGGCAAACCTGTCGGTGAATTCTGAAACCTTTAACCACTTTTTAATCTCTCTCCATCTCCCCATTAATGTCTCCTCTCCGGGAAGGATGGAGCTTAATGTGTCACCTTCCCTAGGATCCTGAATGTTCCCACTGCAATCTACAGGCCTTAAGCCAAGGGAATGAAGAGCTGACGCAGGACCTCCGGGAGGGCAGGGCTCTGCTTGGCTGCCAGTGGATGGAAGGAAAGCCCTGAACAATGAGGGGCCCTTGCCCTCAATAAGAAGGGATCTCATGTGATTAAGTGCCCTAGTGCTCTAGGACATCACCTTGACCTGGGAAGCAGGGTAGGGGGAGGGAGCTGAGTTGCTTCTGCAATATTTAGGGTCTCCCAGACTCCTAGGCTGGGCTTGAGATTTACTGTTTAGAACTCAAACCACTTAAAAAAAAAAAACTGAAATAATCACTCTGTCTCCAAACAGGTCAATGAGATAGTGAAAAAGATCAGACTCCAAAATAGTTAATATAAAGACCAATAGCCAACCCTGTCTAAATCAACTTTTTGAAACTACAGCAATATTTTCTCCATATTCCTTTTAAAAAGAATTATATATAAAAAAATAAAAAAGAATTATATACTTTCATAGGTAATTATGTTCTGATTTCCTTTGGACTGTATTATTTATATTTGGAAATATTCTTATATATTAAAAGCAAGATCCAAAAATGATTAACTTTTCCAAAGAATTGAGCCTTTTTCCCCCCAAACCTATATAGTAGATTAAATTAATTCTACACAACTAGGCTTTCACATTTATATGTACAACCACAAAGAAACACACTTAATAATACAGAGAAATAGCTTTAGAAATAAGCAAATCATTATGGGGATGTAGCGCTCTAAAAATGGAAACCCACTCTCAATCATTCATACCAATAGAGGGATAAAGCATGAATAATAGAAGATGCAGTCATCCAGAGCTGAGTTTGGCTAACGTTTTTACTGATCAGCTGTTGTTTTGGAGGTACTTTGCATGTATCATCCCATTTAAATTAAAGTTGTCTTGTATATGGGTCCCCACACCAGATCTGACTGTCAAAGTCTTTTCATTTACACAGAACTGATGCACAGTGGGTCCCACCCTCCAGACCTGTGAGCACACAGCACTCCTTTGTGTACACACGTATACGTCCCTGGCTTCACAACTGAAAAGCAAGCTTCAAAACTCAACTGGCTTCTTGTATGCTAAGGAAAAAAAAAAAAACTCTTCATGTACAAAGCAAGTGGCAGAAATAAGAAAACAGTAGGACACTATAGCATGAGAGCAAGCAAAGACCTGAGTTATGGCAGCTTTTAGAACCATTCTTCTTGGATCAGTTAACCGTGGCTGGTAGTGAAGCTCTCAAAGTTGTCAGAAAGGAATCCACAATATATATAAAGTAAGTGGATAATAAGCCATAAGTGCTGCATGGGGTACCGTGTTATGTCAGGAGGAAGATGTGTCATCCCAAACATGACCTGGCTCATCAGTCACTCTCCAGGTTTTCCCCAGTCTCTTTCTACCCCACCGCCCCAACCCCACCTGCCCCCATATTTTCTCATAAGGAAGTTTTTTTTTTTCCACTTTTTTTTGGGGGGGGCATAATTAGGTTTATTTATTATTTATTTTAATGGAAGTACTGGGGATTGAACCCAGGATCTCGTGCATGCTAAGCACTGCGCTCTACCACTGAGCTCTTACCTGATAGTTACTTTTATTCTTGAGTAGATTCTATTGCCATTCCTCTTCCCCCCTCTTTTTTAAAATTGAAGTACAGTCAGTTACAATGTGTCAGTTTCTGGTGTACAGCAGAATGTCCCAGGCATGCATATACATACATATATTCATCTTCATATTCTTTTTCATTAAAGGTTATTAAAATGTGGGAGTTTGAGATTTGCAAATGTTAGCCACTATATATAAAAATAGATTAAAGAAAAACAAGTTCCTTCTGTATAGCAAAGGGAACTATATTCAATATCTTGTAATATCCCTTTTAAAGTTCTTTGTTACAATGCCCAAAGAAATCTCACTCCCACCTCATTAAAACCCGCAGTCATTATGTGGCCACCTTCTCTTTCCATCAACTGCTAGTGGAGGTCATTTAATTCAATTCAGCCATTACTGAACTGTTGAGATGAGTCAGACACACAAAGGAGCAGGAATACAGAGATGAACCAGGTGGTCTCTGCCTACCAGGACCTTATAGTCTCCTTACAGAGAAAGATATTGACATTAACGATTTTAATTCATTCAGTCCCTCAACGCACGTTTCGTGCATTCATTCAGTGAAGATTTATTTAGCACCTACTTTACTTTGGGCCAAACCTAGTGTTAGTCTGGGTTTCCATAGAAGGACACCCAGAGACAAAGACTGAAGTGCAAGAGATTTATTATTAGGATGGTAACTGCAGGAAACACTGGGAGGGGATTAGAAAAGACAATGCTGCACATAAAGGGTGTGTTTTTAAGTGAGAGATCACCTTAGCCCCGGGGGCTGAATCCTGCCGAGCAACAGTAAGAAATGGTTGAGTGCACACACCTCAGTTACTCAACCCAAGGGGCAAGGGAGCTAGAGATTTGTAATTTTTATATACCAACCCAGCCTGATTCAGAACTGGTCCACGGCTGTGGTATCAATTTCCTGGCCCTTCTGGCTGGCCATGCACTTGTGGGCAGAGTGAGCTCCTGTGATCAGAGTAAGCCATCAGAGATTCGGATGCTGACAGTTAGAAGGATGGCACTTGGGCAGTGCCATCAAGTGGTAAAGGCAAAAGGGGCACGAGGGGGCCTCTGACAGCTAAGGAACAGGCACTCTTAAGAGCCGGGCACAGGGGTTGAGGTGTGTGAGTGAAACAAACAATGTCCCTGGAATTTAAGAAGAAAGAAAACACACAAGTGTAACTAATGTCACTGATGCTCGGTGCAGAGCACTGCAGTTATCAGTCTGGTTTGGGCAGGGGCTGGGGAGGTTCCAACACAACGTGAGAAGTGCTCTCGCAGGCACGTATGTCAGGGAACAGTGATGGCAAAGGAGGAGGGCACAGTTAGGTGATGATCTCTAAGAGAGAAGCAAGGAAAGTTTTAGAAACAAGATGCTGACTTGTAGTGCTTCTGGGCTCAGAAGAAAGGTGTAAAACGAATAAAGCCATAAAATCCACTCTCAGAAACAAGTCGATGGTACAGGCAGAGCAACTATGAGCACTGAGTGCAGGGACATCCTGGGGCTAATGCACTTGCAAAGGCATTTCAAGAAGTTGAGGCCATGTGAGATGAAAGGCAACTAAGGCAAAGCGGATAAAGTACCGGCCAGCAGGTCAGAGGCTTGATTTAATTCTTTGCTGTCATTTAACTGCTTGCCAAGATAGAATTTCCTTGGATCTCAGTTTCCCCTTCTGTAAAATGGGAGGGTCCCAGAACTTGAAAACCTTCCTCCCTCCCCCACTTCACAGTCTTTCCTGCAACCACGAAGACAAATCTCATCAAGGCCATTTCCCCTTCCATTTCAAGACTCCAGTCTCCAAGGTCATGTTATTTCCTTGGACTCTCACCCCAACTTGGCTCCAACATTGCCTTTTGGACTCCCACCTTCCATTCCTGCCCATCTCCCCTGTGCCCTCGGGGACTCAGTCAGTGGGACTTGATGGGCAGCAAATGCCCTATCCTTGACCTTTGTAGTGAGTGTTCCCTTCCTCTTCTTTTTCTGAGTCCAACTGAGCCCCATCTCTGCCCAATGACACTGCTTCCCCACCAGCCCTCCCAAGCTGTGGCTGTTTTTTCTTCCTCGCACCAGGGTTACTGCACCCAGAGGTAGGAGAAGATGTGCTCCTTGCTCCTCATAGACCATTCTCCTCTCCCAACAAAACACCCAGTTTGGCTCCCATCAGACTACACCACACATCTTTCCACTCGTGCAGGTCACTCCCCTATGCTTGAAGCTCTGCCTCCTGACTCACCAAGTCTCCCACACTGTCATAGATGTTGGTGATTTCAGCATCCCTATGAAGAATTCCTCCAATGCCCAGGCCTCTTGGTTTCTTGACTTCCTTTCCTCC